TGAACTTGGGCCTTCCTGATTCCATTGAGCCACCAAGTTTCCTCCTCATTTCAGCAAAACCAGTCTCCTGAATGTACTTTAAATGCCTCCCAACTCATGTGCATTGCATTATTTCCTGTGATTTCCTTTTCTTCTACATCAGAAGGTCACCAGGATCTCATCTCCAATATCATCTCCTCCATAAGCTGCATTGCCTTCTCTTGTTTTGGTGTGCTCCATGCTACCTTTTACTACAGTTACTTGTGGACTTGTCTTACCACCTCGTATGCCTTGCCTACAATTCCACCTCAGACAAACAAAGTAGACGGTCAGAGCCTTTGAGGCAAGGTGTCTCTGTGCCCACCTCAATGCTTTGCAGGCCCCCATATATACAGCAACTGTTCAAGAAATGTTTTTCAGGGGCAGCTAGGTGGTCCAGTGAATAGAGCACTGGCCCTGGAGCCAGGAGGACCTGAGTTCAAATCCAGCCTCAGACAAAACACTTGACACTTACTATCTATGCAACTCTGGGCAAGTCACTTAACCCCAACTGCCTAAAAATTAAAAAAAAATGTTTTTCAAATGAATAAGTGAAAACCTCTATAAAACTATTTTCCATTTGTCATATATAGAAAAGGTACTAAACCCAGCATGTCTTTGGAGCCTGTTTTTCTGCCTGTCTTGTAGTCTGCCCATCTCAACAAAAAAACAATAAAGTTTAAAACAAAAGCATATATGGCATTTGGGAATATTGGCACAACAAAATACTTTAAACTGGATTGCTTCATTATTTATACCAGCTCAGGACCATTTTTTTTCCCATATGAAAGACAGAGAGGAAAAAAAAGATAGAGGAGGGGAGGAGTTTTACAATTGCAAAGATTATTATTTTTATTTAAACAGTAGATGTTTTTAAAGATCTGTAATGATTTCCCTTACATATACTTAAGAGTTAGGTTAGCCTGGAGACTGGGAGACTATCTTTTGATGCTGCTGAGTAGCTGTGTGACATTTGTCAAGTCAATTAACCTCTCTGTATCTGTTTTGTTTTATTCTGTTTTTTCCTTTTCAAGACAGTTAAAATAATACTTGCTTTTTGTAGCTGTCTACCCAAAGTGAAAGATATGTCTTAAAGGAGATGAGGCAATTATTCAGATGATTCAGGACAAACTCAATCCTGAGATGAAAAAGTTTAAAAAAAAATGCGTGTACCTGGGCCTGAGTTGTCAAGATTGGCTGCCAACATCAATCAAATTCACAGAATAAATTGGTCAACTCTACCTCATTTTGCTTGTGTTCTGAAGACACCTTTGGAGTGGCATTAGCTTGTTGAGGCCAATTGGGTATCAAGAATGCATTCAGGCCACTTAGCTTAGAGCTGCAGCATAGCTGAGACTATAGGGCAACATAACTCTCTGTAGCCCCAGAGTAATCCTAGATAGAAGGTTTCTACCCCTAAGACTTCCTTTCAGTAGTGGTCACACAGGACTAAAAGTGGGTTTACACTAATCTAGCAGAGGAGTATCAGCATCGTGGTTTAGAAATTATTGGATTTCCAGTCAGAGCATCTTGGTTCAAATGCTATTTCTCCCACTAATTACCTGTGTGACGTTGGGAAATATGCACCCCCTCTCTAAAGTCTAGTATCTTTATCTATAAAATGAGAGCTTTGGACTAAATGAACTATAAGATTATTTTTTCAGCTCTGTCTATAGTCTTCTTTTAAAAAAATGTACACATTCACACATGCACATATATGTATATAAACATACATGCATATGTATGTATCGCAAAGAAAATTTCTACGAGAGACATATGTGAAAGATAGGAAGATACTATAGAATTTCAGGTAAGTGAGTGATCACTTCAGGTGGGTGAAGTGGACTAGATCTGGTAAGGTTTTGTGTAGCATTTGTGCAAGACCCTGAAGGGTAGATAAAATTTCAATAGGTAGAAATAATAATGAAAACAATCTTGGCAAAAGGAATGGTGTTAGCAAAGGCATGAAATTAGGAAAGTATGAAATATGCCCAAAGAATGGTGATGAGTTCACTTGTACTATTTGAAGAAGAGAAGGATGAGAAAAAGATTAGAAAAAAAACCAAACAAACCTGAACCTAGATTGTGGCAGTCCTTGAATGTAAGGAGTCTAAACTATAATTTTTGAGCATTAGATTTTGATCAGCTGCTTCATGCAAGGTAGAATGAAAGGTTTTTGACCAACCAGGTGATATAATTAGAACGGTGCTTTGGGAATATTAATTACATATTTGGGCTACTCTTGGCCATATCTCTTCCAGGTATTGTCAAAGATGCTAGAAATGTAAGTCTACTGATCTGGCGCAGAAGTCTTTGAGCCCTATCCTTTTGTCCTATAGTTAACATTATTTGAAGGACTGTCACACTTATTGTGATCTCCTCCTACCTATTGGAATTGTGAGAAATAAAGGTGAAAGCCTAGTGAAACAGGAAAAGCCGTGGAAGCATCAGCCATCACAGCTTTAAATTCTCCATTGCCAGCCTCCAGCTCCAAAGTAGTGTGAGTGAATCAAACACAAGACCTATTGGACTGGATCGTGTATTCCTGAAAAGTATATGAACTGTAGATCCAAGCTGGTGATCCTTCATTTCCCTTCTTCTCTACCCTCCCTCTGTTATGAGAGGTGTGAGCCTAATGTCTTCTCCTAGAGGATGGGAGACTTAACAGTTATCTGTTGCACATCAAGGGGGTAAGAGGCACACCCGCAAATTGGAAAAATCCGCATGAAATTTTTTTGGCCATCCCTTTGTACCAGAGAAGAAGTCTTACTTTTTTTTCTTTTTCTTTTATAGGATATCTGCAGCAATTTGTTTTAAAATTTGGATTCAGTATTTGGTCATAGACTGTATTATACAGTACAATACAACACAATACAATACACATATATTTTATGCATTTCTCAGCCTCAGAACTTTTTCTGTGTCATCTGCTGGTTGTTGTGTGTCATCTGTGGCTCCCACAAAACTCCCATTTAATTTCTTATTCTGGCCTGTGATATATTGAAACCTTGATGGGGAAAATAGGGATGTAGAAGGGGTAACTATATTTATTTCTTCAGAAAGTTTCATTATGTTTAAATGTTTACCTTTTACATATATTCCTTACATTCCAGGACCCCTGCAATTTAGTTCAGGTTATTTTTATCTGGAATTTCATAGTACCTTCCTATCTTTCAATTCTGTCTTTTTTTTCCCACATTTTTATTTAAAGTTTTTAGTTCCAGTTTTATCCTTCTTTTCCTTTCTCCCTCCACTTTCCCTGAGATGGTAAGCAATTATATAAATGCTATACATGTGCAATTATGTAAAACACTTTCATATTAATCATTTTGTATGAAAAGACTCAAAAGAAAAAAAGAAAATGAAAAATAGCATGCTTCAGTCTCTATTCAGTCAATATAAGTTCTTTCTCTGGAGAAGGATAGTATGCTTCATCATTAGTCCTTTGGGATTGTCTTGGATCATTATATTACTGAGAATAACTAAGTCATTCACAATTTTTCATCAAACAATATTGCTGTCACTCTGGGGTTTTTTTGGGTTTTTTTTTATTTTTTTTAGGCAATTGGAGTTAAGTGACTTGCCCAAGGTCACACAGCTAGTAAGTGTCAAGTGTTTGGTCAGGACCTCCTGACTTCAGGGCCGGTGCTCTATCCACTGTGCCACCTAGCTGCCCCTGTGACTCTGTACAACATTCTCCTGGTTCTGTTCACTTCACTATGCATCAGTTCATATAAGTCTTTCCAGGTTGATCTCAAATCATCCTGCTTGTCATTTCTTGTAGTACAATAACATTCCATTACAATCACATACCTTGTTTAGGCATTCCCCAGTTGATGGACATCCCTTTGATTTCTAATTCTTAGCCACCACAAAAAGATATGTTATACATATTTTTGTACAAATAAGTCCTCTCTCTTTTTTTGGATATCTTTGTGATATAGACCTAGCAATGCTATTGTGGTATCAAAAGGTATGCAAAGTTTTATAGCTCTTTGGGCATAATTCCAAATTGCTCTCTAAAATGGTTGGATCAGTTCACAACTCCACCAACAATGCATTAGTATCCCAGTTTTCCCACATCCCTTCCAACATCCAAAATTTTCCTTTTTTGTCTTATTAGCCAAAGTGATAGGTGTGTGATGATACCTTAGAGTTGCTTAAATTAGTATTTCTATGATCAGTAATGATTTAGAGGAGGACTTCTTAAACTTTTTCCACTCATGACTCCTTTTCATGTTTTGGCAGAGTTCTTTAGTGTAGCATGGACCGATGGCATGTGCAGTGCGAAGTGTGCATGCTTCGCGTTTAGAACCAAGGCTGCAGGGAAGTTGATGATACAACACAGGCAAGCACTGCCAGAAATACCTTGGATTTGTTACATGTTTGATTTTTAATTATTTTTTGGCAGTTACATATTGAGAAAACTTCTACTGTTGCCAATTTTTTGTGACCCCATATGAGATCTCAACCCACAGTTTAAGAAGCACTGATTTAGAGTATTTCTTTTCATATTATTATAGACAGCTTTGATTTCTTCGTCTGAAAACTGCCTGTTCATATCTTTCAACCATTTATCAGTTGGGATGACTTATATTTTTATAAATTTGACTCAGTTCTCCACATATCTGGCAGATGGGACCTTTACCTGAGACACTTGTTACGATTTCTTTCCCTGTTTTCTGTTTTCCTTATAATTTTGGTTGCATTGGTTTTGTTTGTGTAAAAACATTTAAATTTTATGTAATCAAAATTGTTTATTTTACATTTTGCAACACTCTGTATATCTTCACTGGATTCTTCCCTTATCCATAGATACGACAAATAATCTATTCCATGGTTTCTTAATTTGCTTATGGTATCACCCTTTATGTGTAAAATCATGTACCCATTTTGAATTTAACTGGGTATGTGGTGTCACATGTTGGTCTATACCTAGTTTGTGCCATATTGTTTTCTTGTTTGCCCAGAAAACAAGTCACATAATGACTTTTTCTTCCAAAAGTTCCAATTTGCTGAAGATCCTTCATGAACAGCTTTTGATGCAATTGTGTATGGAGGGATCAATTCTACATTCATCTCTCTTTTTTTTTTTTGTGGCTAAGCAATGGTGTTAAGTGACTTGCCCAGGGTCACACAGCTAGTAAGTGTTATGTGTCTGAAGCCAGATTTGAACTCAGGTCCTCCTGAATCCAGAGCCCGTGCGCTATCCACTGCACCACCCCGCTGCCCCTGCATTCATTTCTTAAAACTGTTTTCTGCATTGCATGGTAATAAAGTCTCCGGCAAGAGGTGATTTCACAATGCGTTCCTGAAGAACGTATCCATCATGGACTGGAATGGCAGTAGTATGACTGACCCCAGTATCCCAAATTAGCCCTGTGGAATGACCATTAGCACATGTTGTAAGAACTGCAGTTTTACAAAGGAAGAATGCAGGGATGTTGTAGTGTTCAAAAATCATCTCTGTCAGTTTCTCCCTTTTTACTCTGGTATTCCATGGTACTTCTGACGTTAGAACAGGGTGCAAGCTGGCTTCTGATTTGACACGTATCTTGTAAGTGTGATCCAAAATAGTTTGGAAGCGGTCCCAATTTTCAATCATTCTATTCTTTAAAGGTGATATTACCTCCATATTCTCCCCTGGAACATGCAATGCATTAGTATCTATGTAGTATGTGGGACTTACTTGTTTGCCTTTACCCCCATCTATCTCCATCAATATGCTCCCACTTTCAAGTACCTCACCAGTAGTGGTGGGAAAATCAACCTTTGGGCAGTCCTCAACAGCATAGCCAGCTCTCATTGTATAGGAGCCAATGTCAGAAACAAACACCCCAACTTCATCTCCTCCACAGAGGGTGCTGCTCATGGCTGCTGCAGTTGCCGCCACACCAAAGTGGCCCCTGGCCTCAACCTGCCTGGCCCCAGCGCTTCCTAGTCATAGAGTCATTATTTTCCACTTGTCCAATTCTAATTTTCGAGGAATTACTTTCTTCATTGAGTTTTTTTTTTAATATTTTTTTTTTCCATTTGGCCTATTCTAATCTTTAGGGAAATAGCTTTTCTCAGTAAACTTTTTGTGCATCTTTTCCTATACCATTGACTTTTTTCATGATTCTCTTGCATTATTCTTATTTATTTTCCCAATTTTTTTTCTATTTCTCTAATTCAATTTTTAAATCTTTTTTTGGCCTGAGACCAAATTACATTTTTCTTTGAGCCTTCACATGTAGCCATTTTTACACTATTGTCTTCTTCTAAATTTATGCCTCAATTCTCCCTATCACCGTAGTAACTTTCTATAGTCAGACTCTTTTGTTTTGCTTTGTTTGTTTTCCTCATTTTTTTTCTGCCTTTTTTTTGTGACTTGGTGTTTTTATGTGAGAGCTGGGCTCTCTTCTTGCACCATCCCAAGCTTTTTGTGGTAGGGCTCTGGATCTTACTGCTAGCTTTCACCGGGCTTCAGGGCTTAGCTGTTTGCTTTTTCTGGATGGAAAGCTTCCCTTCTGGGTTGTACCAGGGGGTGGGCCTTGGTGGCCTCCCCTGGGCTTGGAATTTAGCCACTGGCCTATTTGAGGGTGGGAGCCTTATTGCACAGCTGCTACGGTAACAGTCTTTCTGGTGGCTGGCCCTGCAAGACCAGTCTTATTGCTGGTTTACCCCAGTGGTGGGGCCCTCCTGCTGCGTTACTATGGAAACAGGGTCTCTCTGCTGGTAGGCCCTGGTGTGGGGCTCAAGCTCTAGGGCAGAGCTTCACTGCTGGTCTGCAATGAAGTCAAGGCCTCTCTGGTGGCTTGTGCTAGTGGTAGGATCAATAGGGTGGGGCTTTGCTGTGCTGCACAGACTGTTCACTTGCTGATGGCTTGCAGGAGGGTGGGGCCTCATTGCTCCATTAACCCTTGTTGTAGGCCCCCTGCTGTGAGGCTGGCTGCTGCTGCTGTGAGGCTGGCTGCTGCTGCTGTAGGACCTCATTCCCCTTCCACCACAGTTAAGACCTACTTTTCCTTCCGTGCTGTTAAAGTTCTTCCCTGCTCCTACATAGATCAATTCTGATGCAGTTTTCTAGTTAGAGGGAAATTTGGGAGGGCTTCAGAGGGTTCCTTCCTTATTCCACCATCCTTGGCACCAAAAGAGAATTTCTCAATTCTGTGTCTTAAGCCAGAAAGTGTGACAAATTTATTAATCATACAAATTGTGAAACTGTGTATGCTAAACTGTGAGCAGTAATTTAGTTTAGATGCAGCATTGAGAAAAATAATTGAGAGTGCTCAGGAGGAGAATGAGATTAATTTGAAACTTCATTATTTTGTCAGAGTGAGATCTCTGGTTGGGGGCTCAGAGCTATAAAAGAAAGTCATTGATTAATTTTTACAAATTCCCAGGACATAGATAATGCTTTTGCCAGCCCTTTTTTCTGTCTGGCAAATGATTCTTAGCATTGACTGCCAATAGCTAGTTAGATAGACATTGAGATGGAACTACACTGTTTTTGTGCTTCTTGTATGAAAGGAAAGTCATTCTTCAGAGAGAAAGGGCCAAAGAATTGGCTAGAGAGAGTCACAGCTAAGGGGAAAGGTAACCTGACCTATAGAAAAGGTGGGATGGAATAATAATGACTGACATCTCCCTTTCTGCTCACCAGCTCAGCATGGTAACCACTAATCATATAAAATATTGTGTGTGTGTATGTGTGTGAGTATGTGTGTGTGATATGTCCTTGGCTCTGAATCTCTGTCCAACAAGTAGTCTTTACACTCATCTTAGCCCTTCCATAATACCCACACATTGCTTAGCAGAAGGTCTTTTTAAGTTTCTATGGCTAAAAGAGTCAAGAAGCTATTGGGTAGACTTCTGATGGTGAGTTTCTTTAGAATAAGCTAGACTGGCCCTCAGAGGATAGATATACAGTTTTAATTGAGCCTGTCTTTGAAGTCTTATCTGGTTGTTGGACCACCCAGAATCTGCAGTCCACTAATACAGCTCTTAATGATGCAGGGCTACCACAATACCACCTTGAGGAATGAAAGTACCTCTTAAGGATATTAACCTGAATTAAACAATCTGTAAAGATGACAGAAAAAGAAAAGTAATTAGATTTGGCCACAAGAGAAAATGAAGATGTTCGTGAAAAAAGATAGGGAGACTATATTCACAGCCCATTGTTGGAAAGAAACACAAACAGGAAATGATATAAAACTTGGGCAAGAAGAGGGCTTCCCCAGTGAAGTATGTCATACCACAGATTGGCAGTGAAAAGTCCTTTGACATGGCAGAATGCCCCAAAGATGCAGGCTGCAAATCAACAGCAAATGAGACACGCACTTGGTATGTAATATTGTAAGCAGGGGGAAAAAAAAGAGCTAATGGGATTCTGGACTGCTTATCCACAGAGCCAGCCATCACTAAGTCACCAGGCATCAAGACTGCTGTCCCTCTTGAAACTGCTCTTCTGAAACTATGTGTGCAACAGTGTTTGATTCTGGTCTGCTTAGCACTGACACCATCCAGTTATCCTGGCCTGGTCACAGCGGGAGGCAACATACTGATTAACTTGCCAGAGGGAAAAACTTACAAGGAAGGTTTTTGTTGTGCTAGGGATCAGTAACAGACAAAGGATGAGCTCAAGGATGATCCTTCAACATGACTAAACTTGATTGCTGGAACAAAAACAAAACAAAACCAAAAACAACAACAACTATTCAGCCATCACTGAAGCAAACAACTTTGGAAACTGCAAAGGTGCAAAACTTGATCACAAAAGAAACTCCACTATTATATTGCATCTCACATTAAAAAGCAAACAAAGAAACAACTTTATAATGGATGACCAATTTGTTAATATTCCACATTAGCCGCAGGAATATGTAGAATGTTAACAGATTATATACACCAAGATTATGCTAACAGATTAATACACCAAGCATATATTAAGTGGCTATTATGTGCCAGGCACTGGGCAAGGAGCTGGGTACAGAAAGACAGAAGCAAAGTAGTACCTCACTTTCCAGAAGCACACATTTTATAGGGAAAGACGATATATACACACATCAATAGACACAAAATAAAGAGGAGGAACCTTTTTTTTTTAAGAGGGAGGCACTATCCAGAGGAAGCAGAAAAAAGCTTGATGGAGGACGTAGTGCTTGAGCTGAGCTTTTTAGGGAAGTAAGGTATTCTAAAAAGCAGAAGTGAAGAGAGAATGCCATCTATTCATGAAAAGAGACTATGCAAAGGCCAGGAGATGGGAGATGAAATGTTGGTTGTGTTTGAGGAGTGACAAGAAAGACAGTTTGATTAAACCTAAAAGGATATGAAGGTCAAAAATGTGTGTAAAATAAGGCCTGGAATGTAGGCTGGAAACAAGTTGTGAAGGGCTTGAAATGTCAAACAGAGGAGTTTATGTTTGATTCAAGAAGTTATACACTCTGGATCCTGTATGATTTGTTGAATATATATATATATATATATGCGTGTGTGTATGTGTATATACATATATATACACACAAATATATATGTATGTATGTATGTATGAGTGTGTATATATTGTGCATGTATGTATACATATATGTACATTTAATTTTATTTAGATACCTATGTTTTGAATAAATATACATGTGTGCAAGGAGTAGTGTGATCATGCTGGTGCTTTAGGATTATCACTTTTTCAGCTATACAAGATGGATGGGGGAGGGGAGAGACTTAAGGTAGAGAGATCAATTAGGAGGCTATTGAAATGGTCTGTGGGAGAAGTGATAAAGTGATAATCAATTAGGGCGATGGCTATGTAAGAAGGTAAAAACGGAGGGGACTGAGAACTATCTATCTCTCCAATAGAGGGATGATATAGATAGAGAGATGTGTATATCCCTCCATCCCCTCCATTTTTATGTATATATATATATATATATATATACATATATATACACACATATATACATATATACATATATATATATATACACACATATATACATATATACATATATACATATATATACATATATACACACACACATCTTGTATATATGATATATAAATATAGATAAATATCTATATTTATCTCTATCGAGATACACGTACACACACACATGTATACACATAGTGCAGGTAGGATTGACGTTGACTTGACGATTGATTGGGTATTAGAGGTGAGGTATAGAGATGAAGATGACCCTGATGTTGTAAAACTGAGTGATTAGAAAGATGGTGGTTTCCTCAACAGAAATAGAGAAGTTCAGGAAAGGAGTAGATTTGGGCTAAAGGGCAATATGTTCTGTATTGAAATTGTGAAGTTTGAGATGCCCATGGAACGTATAAGTTCATAATTTCAATAGTTAGTGAAGCACACTAGAGCTCAGGAAAGAGCTTAGTTGTGGATATATGAGTTTGGAAATCATTTGTGTACAGATGACAATTGAACTTGTGGAAACTGATGCTCTCACCAAGAATGAAAATGTAAAGAGAGACGAGATGCTGGTCCAGGGCAGAGGCTTGGGGTATACTCACAGTTAAAGGGTGGTACGTGAATGATGTTCAAGCAAATGATGGTGAGGAGAAGCAGGCAGATTGATAATAGGAGAACTGAAAGAGAACAGTGTGCTGAAAATCCAGAGAGAAGAGAGTGTTCAGGAGGAAATGTGATTAATAGCTGTAAAGACACCAAGAAGGATGAGAATTGGGGAAAAGACTATCAGATTTGGCATTCATGAGATCATTGTTAACTTTGTAGACAGCAGTTTAAATTGAGTCATGAGGTCAGATTACAAAGGAGTGAGAAAAAAATGGGTGATGTGAAAGTGAGACAACAAATGTAGATTGAGTTTTATAGAAGTGAGGCTGTCAAAGAGAGGAAAGAGAAAGGGTAGTAAG